TTTCATCTTCCTACTGTGCAGCTGGTAGCCTCGTTTTCCTACATTCTGAGCTTCCGGCTCCTTGCTCCCTTTGTTCTACTGAGAACTGAACCTAGAGCCTCATGCATGCTAGCCAAGAGCTCCACCACTGAGCCCTAGCCCTAGCCCTGTGCTTACTTCTGATTTCTGAGACAGTGTCTTGCTAAGTGCCGTGGGCTGGGTTTGAACTAACTCTGCAGCACAGGCTGGAATTGAACTCGTGACCCTCCTGCCTCATAACTTTTGGTGCAGAACACAGAGAGGCAGGACCTCACGATGAAGAGTGTATTAAATCTGGACTCAAAAGACTTGGGAAGTGTTCTAATATCCTATAGCTGACTTGCTGCACAAGTACCTTTTGAAATTATTGTCAGGTAAACACAATGTCATTTATTTTCTAGGCTTGGAGGGTTGTAAAAAATAGCAAAGTAGCCAAAATGAATGTTCTCATAGACTTTACTATTCATTCATTTGGCTATTTTTGTTTTGTTTTTTGAGACAGAATTTCATGCTGTAACCTAGACTGGCCTGGAACTCACAATGTGGCCAGGGTTGGCCTCAAGCTTGACAAAACCCCTTCCCTCAGCCTCCCGGGTCTAGGATTATGGGTGTGAACCTCTAGGCCTACCAGAACTTCATGTTCAGGTAGGCAAACCATCACTAATCAAGCAGGGCAGTGCATGGAAATAGACACAAAGTCAAGGAGGAGATGATCCATGAAGACCTGTTATGTAAAAGGGGAGAAAGAGGGAGACTGTGCCCTGATGCTTTAGGCAGAGGCAGATAGCATCACCTCCGGAGAGTTATTTCAAGACAGTTCAGAGGTAATAGACAGCATTTTAACCTATTACCTACTGAAGAAATAGAACATGGTGTTGCTGTTCAGATGCTTGTTTCCATATAACAAGAAAGAAACGGTGGAAAAGGAAGAGGGGGAGAGGGAGTGGGGAATGAAAAGGAAAGAGAAAAAGGTAAAAAAAAAAAAAAAAAAAGCTTTCTTCCTGCAAGATAAGCTGGGAGGCCCGGGGTCATGTCCACAGCTGCTTGCTAAGGCTCTGCAGTCCAATTGCTGCCATTCCTTTTTTTTTTTTTTTTTTCTGCTTTGGTTCGGTGCTGCACCTCCGTTTTTCTGTTATGATTTCATTTCTGCAAGGGGAATTTGGCTTTGCTGGCCAGACTGTAAGGAACGTAAACACTCCATGGGAGCAGTGATATCTGGGTCACCTTTGTTCCACAGCTTTTGGGGTGCAGCACAGGGACAGGGGCTCAAGGTACAAGAAGCATATTTGTTTTGGACAGACTGGTCCGCCAGGTGGTAGGACCTTTCCTGTCCAGGAAGCAAGCCCAGCGGCAGTCAGGCAGGCACAATCCCTCCGGCCAGAGCATCACAAAGAGCGCCACTGTCCCAGCAAACACCTGCCTGCAGCAACACTCTCACCAAGCTCTGGCCCAACTCTTAGAAAAGAAAGCCAGCTGTCTGAGGGTTCAGCACCTCTCCTGAAAGGCAAAGGTTTTTTTTTTTTTTACACTTGCAAATTGCTGGACTTATTTCTAAGGGATTTCTATCAGAGTAAAGCTTTGCCGCAGGCTATAAACTATGTGACCTAACAGGTATAGGTCGCTGTCTGCTGGGGGGGGGGGGATAAATGGTATCATGGGGAATTAGACAGTAAGAAATTAATTTGGAATATTTCTGGCATGAGAGTCAAGAGCCCTTCCCGGTACAATTTTAATGTTCTGTTGTTCTATATTTTTTTGTTCCTAAAACCTCTTTTCCCCCTATTTTATATTTGCTCTTTGTGTGTGTGTGTGTGTGTGTGTGTGTGTGTGTGTGTGTACATGGATGTTTTACTGCATATATGTGGAGATCAGAGGACAACTCTGAAGTTTCAGTTCTCCAACCTTGTTTTTGAGGTGAGGTCTCTTGTTTTTTTCACATGGGTTCTGGAGACTGAATTGAAGTCATCAAGATCACGTGGCAAGCACTTTTTTCAGTAAACCATCCCAGTGTCTCTCACCCCAAACCTCTTATAGAATGTTCATTGAATCCCATAAAACCCAGGTTGCAGATGATCTCCGATGATCCTCGTTCGAGTCCTGGTGTCCTCACCTCACATGGTCTCCCCGTGATGAATCAGGACTGACATGTGCAACCATGGGACACAGTACAGAGTCTGGTTTCTGAGCTCAGGTCAGAAAAGGTACTGTAGCTTCTGACTGGGCTCATTAGGTTGCTCGCCCTCAAGGGTGTAGGCTGCCAGGCCACAGGGACTCTCAGCAGCTCCACGAAGAGTCTCACTATGACATCTGTCCTATCACAGGCATGTAGTGAAGCAATCCAGGAGGCCATTCCTCAGGCAAGCTATCCAATGACCAACACATGACAACCTGTTGGGACTCTGAGCTCCCACTCAGAAAAGTCCCCAAATTTCTGGCTCAGAGTCATTGTGAGAGATGATGGTGACTTAGTAAACTAAATCTGGTACACTAAAATGTGATCCTGCAAGACAGAAGTAATTACAAAACCTCTTCTGAAGTGCCAGGATCTAGTAGGAGAGCTAAAAGCCTCCTGAACCCAAGATTGAATCTCTTGACACCAAGGTTATACAATGAATGCTAGATCATTTTGCCCAAGGCCATGGCAAGAATTTTTGGAGAATGACTTTGTATAATTAACACTGGCTTTTTGAGGTCCAGTTTTATCTTTGTGAAATTCAAGAGCATTCTAAGGAAAAGTCTTGCACCCCTACGTCCTCACTAATGCCCCGACCTGATGTCCTCACAGTCTATAGCTGGTGTCATGGATTTAAACACTGGTGGAGGGCTGCCTAAGGGGGCTGTCATCTGTACAGCACTCCTGGCCGCGGTGCCCAGGGCCCCAGAGGATTCGTGCCTCCAAAGGAAGTCAGCAAACATATGCCCATGCTGCCAGACAGAAGTTGAACCAACAGGCTTGGGAGTGGCACGGGCTGAGGGAATCCAGGGGTCTGCCTGCGGCTGTCTGCCTTGGTATCCAGGCCAAGATCCGATCTGCAGGGAGAGGGGAAAGGGCTAGCCCTTGGCACAGTGAATGCAACATGGTTCCTGGGATGCAGGGACACCATCCAACAACAGCTCTCCAGACAGTCCTGGGATGCAGGGACACCATCCAACAATAGCTCTCCAAACAGGTGTTAGAGAGATGCTGAGACTCAGCAAAGACCTCTTAGACGCGTTGGGCATCTGAACTTCCCAACTCCTTTCCCGGGGAAATTAAGAGGAGACGTGGACCCTGGCATCCCTGTGGAGCCTCAGCAGTAGCCACAGGCAGGTGCTTTCTCAGGCCTCGACTGTCACGGCTGGGCAACCACCTCATCTCCTCCCTGCTGGCTCTTCCCAAAGAGGCCCCTTTCCATGGCAGACCAACCGACACACTGATAATTCACCAGCAACTCTCCCAAGGGGACAAAACTCCGCTTCTGAAGGAAATCGGTGAGGTAAAATTGGACTCTTGTACGGAGTGGCGGGTTAACAATTGCTAGACCACTTGCTTATCAGGCCCTGTGGAAATGCTCATCGGCCGTTAGCTCATGGCCATCTAGACATCCTGTCAGATGGCTTCTTCCTCTTTGTCTTCCTCTCTCTCCTTCTCCTCCTCCTCCTTTGAGACGGGGTTTCACTATGTAGCCCTGGCTGGTCTGGAACTTGATATGCAGATCCAGGTAGCATCAACTCACAGACATCCTGTGCCTATGTCTCCCAAGTGTTGGGATTAAAGGCGTGTGCCACCATGGCCCACTCTGTCTTTGTGACAAATCTTAAATCCTTCATTTGGAGGCAGCATCTCCCTTTGAAGCCTAGACCGTCCTAGGATCCACTGTGCAGCCCAGGCCCGCCTCTAATTCCCAGTGATCTTCTCACCTCAACCTTCCGAGTGGTAGCTGTTTCAGCCACGCCGCCACACCCAGCTTAGTCCTGAGTCTCCTTGCACCTCATACCTTCATACAGAAAATACAGAAAGTAATCTGCTTCTCCAGATGAAACCTCTTTCCAGGGGACATTCAACCCCTGTGAAGGGTTTTTGCTGAGGCCACATTAGCCTAAGGCAGTTAAGCAGTCTCAAATACCAATAGACCCGTGGTCCCGTGACACTTCCTGTCCAGGCAGCACTAGAAAAGTATTTCCCTCCAGTCCCTTAAGCTTTTGTCATAAGGAAGCAAAGGTAGAAAATTCTTCCTCCTTTTTTTCTTCTTAGATTTGTCTTTCTGACTTGAACCCCCAGAGGGCGCTGGTCTGCAAAAAACCCATCCGACTATCATGCAGCGAGCGTGCCAGCTGTTCACCCGGCAGGGAGGGAAAACCCTTGGCATTCTCCGTGAATAATTTATACTGGTAAAATCTAACCGCAGGCTTTAATAGCACTCATAAATGCGGTATCTTCTCCCCTGGTGGTAAAAAGAAGCCCCTAGCCATGGTTTATGCTGCTTGCCATTCCTTCTTTCCTCCCAGCCACTGTCTCCAGGCTCTGGGAGGTTTTTTGGTTTTTGTTTTTCCTAGTGGCTAACCCCTTACTTCTCACTTAGTGCATAGCTAACGTCAGAAAATGAGAGAAACCTGGCATTCTGGGAGCCAGGCATTTGCAGGCTGTGAGGCTTTGGGACTGCTTGATAGCAAAGGACACCAATCTCAGAGTTTTGGAGACCTTGCCTCCCATCCAGCTAGACCTTGGGTACATGTCACAGCCACGCCTCAGTCTTACCTATTCCTGGAAATGACCCTTAGCCTCCTCTAGCCATGGAACAGACTCATTCAGACACGTAGCGTTCTACACTTCCCTTTGCACAGCAGGAATGCTCTATAATGTCAGACAGGAATGCTCTATAATGTCAGACAGGAATGCTCTATAATGTCAGACAGGAATGCTCTATAATGTCAGCTATGCTCCACAGTCTGTCTCACCACCCTCTTGTGACACACGGGTTGACACCAACTGTTGGGCAGTCTCCTGCAGAAGTTTCCTCATTTATTTGAATAAAATTACTTCCTCACTAGAAAATTAACCTTTTTTTTAAATGTGTCTGGCATCCTGCCAAGCAATAAGGAGGAATTAAGGCTATATGAGATCCTGAAGCAAGATAATCAAGAAGGCGGATCTAGGAGTGGGGGAGGGGGGCCAGGAGAGCCCCAGGGGCAGACAAGGTTGGAAACTGCTTAGCAGGAAACCCTACTGTAGCGTGAGGAGTCATCCCCCATGCCCACTTGAGTACCTGATGGCTTCAAATGATGTATTTTGTTCTGAATGGAGAAAGCTCAAGCACAAACTTAGAGAAGAAGTTCTTTCACGGCCTGAGATGGCTTCCAACAGTCCCTGAGCTGGGAGCATGGCAGAGGGACAGCTCCAAACCCTGGACCACGGCGTGCTTGGCCTCAATGACTTTTCTGTCTAGCAAGGGAAACAAACAGTAAACAAGCGTTTCAACACAGCAAAATAAACACCATGTGTGTTGAGACGAGTGTCACATGCTTAGGACTCAAGTCGAAGGAGATGGGAATCCGGGCTTTGTTGCAACAGCTGCATCCTTCATCAGTCATCATCTCTAGCAGCCAAGCTGACTCCTCCGGGCCAATCCATCTTCCAGCTCCCGGTCCCCGTCTTATCATGTGCTTCAGAATGTCATCAGGAAGAACCAGAAATTATGCTTTATGATGCCGTGAGAGTAACTCTAACCAGATCCTAGGCCCAAGCTGCTTCCTGGATATGAATAGAAAACACGTAAATTGAATAAGCACCAACATCCTTGATGAATGACCACAAAATGCTGCCCAAGGAAACAAACCTACCTTCAACACACATGAACTAACCCAAAGTGACTGGAATGGATATTTGTCTGGGAACATACACAACAGCTGATAACATGGGCTGTCCTAGAAGACTCCTGGCTTCCAGCCATGACCTGTTGCTTATTTTATATGGCTGTGTGACTCGAGTGAGTTGCGTAATCTGTAAATTGATTTCCTTTGCTGTAAAACAATAATAGCTACTATGAGGTGTTCTATATTTCATAGTCCTGGGAAGACAGACAGCTCAGTGAGGAAAGGGCTTGCCATGCAGGCATGGAGAGCCAAGTTCAGATCCTCAGCCCCCATGGAAAAGCCAGGCACAATGGCTTGCATGTACAATCTCAGTGTTGGGGAGGCAGAGTCAAGAGGATCCCCAGTGCCTGCTCAGCAGCTAGTCTAGCTGAATCAGAGAGTTCCAAGTTCAATGAATGACCCTGTCTGAAAAACTAAACCGAAGGGCTGACAATAAGGCTCAAAGGGCAGAGGTGCTCGGCAAGCAACCCTGACTGCCTGAGTTCGATCCTCAGAGCAGCATAGACATGAAAGGAGAAAATCAACTCCACAAAGTTGTCCTTGGAACTCCATACCTGTGGCATGCATATACCCCATATATATTAGCATATACACGCTAATAATAATAATAAATTTTAAAAATGAGGTGGAGAGAGATTGAGAAAGAAACAAGACATCAGAACTCTCACACAAACACACACGAGAGACAGAGAGACAGACAGAGACAGAGACAGAGCAGAGAAAAACAGAATATGTTCTTTGGATAGCAGTCAGTGGCTATAAAAAAATGAAGCCGAACCACCCGGCGTTGACAATAGAGATAGTGAAGAGCTGGGAGCCACTCCAGGAAACAATGTTGCATGGAATTTGAAGACCACATAGTTCAGACCCTGTTCCTGTGGCTTCTCCTCCAGCTCTGACATTCTCTTTGTTACCCTGGTAGGCTGGCTGACCAGGTCATGAGCAATTGCTGTTTGGTCTTCCAGATTCTAGCTGAATTTGGCTTAAGCTAACTGGCTGCATTTCTCAACGAATGATCCCTTGGTCTGTCGAGAGGTCCCTTCTGTCTCCTGATTCTGGGACACACACTGGCCTCTTTGCGTTGAAAATACCTATAATTGCTATGCATTGTGTGACTCACCTTGGGCTTTCCTGCCATTCTTCGGAGTCTTTTCCACACATTTGTACATCGTCCCCCCTGCAAGTCTCCTCCAATTATTCAGCTAATGCTGTTCAGACAAGAACTTCTAGCTCAGTGGTCCCTCCCAGGACAAGCATCTGGGAACTGGCTCTGGACAGGCGACATCAGAACCACAGAGGGAACACTTGAAAAATACAGAGGTGGCTGGCTGGGACTGGGGAAGCTTAGGACACCTGTAGCTAACAGTGCCTCCTGCGGATGCACAGCAGTGCATTCTGGAAAGTGCTTCCCTGCTGAGGCTCTCCTTCCTCGGGAAGTGGGGGGGAGGGGCGGGCACCAGGTTGGTTCTTGCTTCCATTTTCACTGGGCATTGGTTTCATTTCAAAATTTTTTAAAAAAGTCAATTCAACCTACACAAACACTGTATACGTCCTCAGGAAGGCAGCCTCCATGAGTTATTTCTTCAGCTCTAAAACGTTGCCTGGTGTGCTGCTGGCACTCAGTAGATGTTTCTGAAGAGAATACTGAATTGATCTTAAGAATGGCTATGGTACATGTAAAACAAGCTATTTAAAATTAAAATAAAAAATGATAAAAAAAAAGAGTGGCTATGGTAGTTATGGTAGTATGCAGGGCTTAGATAAGATCAGGTGTGTGATCTCCAGGAGGTATGGCTAAGCTCAATATTTGGTCCAATGCAAGCCAAAGACACTGAATACTGAGGATTGTGAACTCACCAAAGGTGAGCTCTTGCACATTTTGCCCTAGAGATTCTGGATGCATCCACTCCACTCTCGGTCCTTCAAAGCCGGCTGCACAGGATACGAAAGGGGCAGCCTATGCTAAAAGTCAGGATGCTGTCGTAAATGTCAGTCGTAAATGGAGTTCCAAGGACAACTTTGTGGAGTTGATTTTCTCCTTTCATGTCTATGCTGCTCTGAGGATCGAACTCAGGCAGTCAGGGTTGCTTGCCGAGCACCTCTGCCCTTTGAGCCTTATTGTCGTAAATCGTCAGGTATTTGGGGTTCTTTTAAATTTTTATTTTTGTTACTTTAAGTGAGTGAGTGTGTGTGTGTGTGTTCCCCTAGAGCTAGAGTTACAGGAGGTTGTGAGCTGCCTGATGTAGCTGCTAGGAACCAAACTCAGGCTGTCAGCATGTTCTTGACCACTGAGCCGATCCTCCAGCCCCTAGGAGGCAACGTAAAACCAAACAAAACAGAAATTAGAGTTTCACTTGTCCCTCGTACCTAGCAGGGACACAGCTTCAGTACATATTGCACTATTTTTAGCTCAAGGATTCTTGCACATTTTCAAGGTAAGAGGAATTTCTGTGTAAATTAAAATAAAAGCCCATGGTCAGCCCCTCCTCCCCCAGTCCTCAGGTATCGCTAATTGCCAGAGGAGGCTTTTTCTTCTCTCTGTAATTCCCGTGTCTGTCAAAGGACCCTGTTAACAAAAGAAGCCCTTGGCTCACTCTTTCTTGACTAGGTAATCAGTAAAATGTCTGACCTCTTTTCAAGCCAAGGCTAAATTGACTTGGATTCATCTACCTGGAAAGCATTCTAGAGACAGAAACATAGTTGTCCAGCTCTTTCAACAAATGGTTCAGGCAAACCTTTGTCAGTGATGAATTTCTGCATTACTTATGGCTGTCATTAAGAAAATCGATGATTGACCTGTGGTATTTAAAACCCATTGACTGCTTAAAGGCCAATAAGGTAGTTAGCATGGCTTTTTCCTCCTGGGAGTGCCCTGGCCTGGTTCTTCGGTCGACACAACAGGATTGCTCCCTACAAAGATGGAAAATGAAGAGTTATCTGGGTAGGCGAAGAGTCACTTTGCCTAGGAATGTCAGAACTCCATGTCTGTCACCCTCCACCTGTTTTGAGGCAGGTTCTCTCCCTGACCCTAGGGCTTGTGTCGTCTTGCCTAGGTTGGGAGCTAGCTAGAGCCCCAGGAACCCTCCTTTCTCTGTTCCACTCGGGACTGGGGTTACAGGAGTTTGTGAGACACCTAGCTTGTTTTGTGGGTGCTGGGAAAGGAGCTCTGGTCATAATTGGGTAGCAAGCATTCTTAACTGCTGACTCCCCTGCATAGCTCTTAGTTTGGGGGAGGGGTTGTTTTGAGGCAAGACTCTTGCTACATAACTCAGAATGACCTCAAATTCCCAACCTCCCACATTTGGCCCTCGAGTACTGGGGTCACAAGCATGTGCCCGTGAACCCCCAGTATAAAATACAGAAGTGGAAGAGCTTGTGTGAGAGGGCTCTTCTCAACTGTAGAAATGGCACGGAATAAGAAAATTCTAGGAGTCGGCAATGAGCTAATGGTTTGTCAGATGTCTGGAAAAATGTGTTCAAAGATTTGAAGAAAACGTTAAGAAGTATGTGCTAGTCAACTCAGAGAATAAATCTGAGGACTGACTGGAACTCTGCAGCTTCCCACAAAGGGCACCTGGAGTAGAAGTAAAGAAAAACTTGCAAAGGTGGCTTGCAGTGCCCTTCCGAGGGAATCACAAAATCGCCCGATCTTGCAGTCTCTAAAATTAGCCTGACTGACTAAATGTATTTGCACTCCTGCCCCGGGAAAGGGAGATGACCTCGATGCTTCTCCAGTTTCCTGCTCATTTCAGGCTTCAGAGGCACCGTGTCTCCTAATGCTTAACTGTGCTTCCTAGGCCGCTGAGTATGTGTTGCCCAAGGGCTTGCTCACAGGTGTGGTCTCTTGCAAAACTTCGTTCTTTTTGGAATGTTGTGGAGCAACAAAACTGTCTGTCCTCTAAAAGACAAGCAGAGATGTGAGAAGAGACTTCAGTGGTTCTGGAAAACTTTGTGAATCGGGGCCTCCGGGAGCAAGTGTACCCTGAAACACACTGGCTGGGTTCCTGGGGTACAAGTCTCTCTCTCTCTCTCTCTCTCTCTCTCTCTCTCTCTCTCTCTCTCTCTCTCTCTCTCTCTCTCTCTCTCTCTCTCTCACTCTCTCTCTGTCTGTCTCTCTGTCTGTCTCTCTCTCTCTCACTCTCTCTCTCTCTGTCTCTCTCTGTCTCTGTCTCTCTCTCTCTCTCTCTCTCTCTCTCTCTCTCTCTCTCTGTTTCTCTCTGTTTTTCGAGACAGGGATTCTTTGTGTAGCTCTGGCTGCCCTGGAACTCACTCTGTAGACCAGGCTGGCCTTAGACTCACAGAGATCCGCCTGCCTCTGCCTCCAGAGTTCTGGGATTAAAGGCGTGCGCCACCAACGCCCAGCAGTAGTGGCCCCTGAGACTCTCCTTTACCACACACAGTGAAGAAGTATGAGACACAAGGAAGACAACAAGCTGAAAAGTAAGGTTTAGAATACCCAGACTCTTCCGCAAGATCGCAAGTGCACTGATCTGCACGGAAGCATCCCAGGTGGAGTTTGGAGGCCCGAGGTTCGTTTACACTCAAAGGAGAACGCTAAGATGATCTTTTTCATAGTGGCTTTTGGTACTGAGTCTGTCCCACCTTTGTTGAATGGATTCTTGGATCTCTGCTGTTACCCCATTATGTCAGGTTTGCTTTAGCTGAGTGTGCTTGAAGTCCAGTCTTGGGGCCACAGGGTGTGGATGTGGGAATGAGGTATCAGAATCTCAGCTGGGTCCAGGTAAGCAGGGATGTATGCTGCACAAAGCCAGCAGGCTCCCACTGCAGATCCCCAGTGTCTGTCCAAGGGGATCTTCAGCCCTGAAGGTTGTGGTTGAGGTTGCAGCAGAGAGAGATGGTACTGTCTGCCTGGGCTACCCGGGACTCTGCAGACCTAAGGTGGTAGGGGCTGGGCTAATACTCTTTTGTGTGTGTGTGTGTGTGTGTGTGTGTGTGTGTGTGTGTGTGTGTGTGATCTTTTTGCACACTGAATGAAGATGTGTCTGTTTAACCTCACCTGCCTAAGGCACCTTCTGATTAGTTT